TGTATTTTTGACTAAATAAATGCAGTCTTGGTGAACACAAAAGATGTACAGACCACAAATATTTAGACAGTAGTTTATATATTTCCTGTCACAACCATGCAATGACAACTCACAAACTGATTTTAATTGCCATATAATGTATTATTAAACCAAAATAAATGTGACATATAAATGTCAGACACATTTTTCTGTTCTGCAGTCCCACTGCTCAAGAATAAAAGCTGGTCATTAGCATAAAAGCACCAAACATATATGCTGTTTGCTTGCCATTAAGGAGCTGCTTTCATCCAAAGAATACTTATTGACAGAGGATGACTCAAGGGCACAGTAGTGATGAGGCATAACTGCAACTCTCCAGTTTAACTAGAAGCCTATTACATGCAAATGCCTGGTAAAAGAGCACATGCTTTCAGGGAGATGTCGGTCTAATTTGATGAACATGAGCAGAGTGACTAAAATGATGGTGTGACGCATATGCTGTATTAATCATCAAGTGTAGCATTCATCACCAAAATCATTCATGTTCCACACACATCAATCCATGCTGAGGGATGCTTTATTTTTTACGTCTTGTAGTTGATATTCTTACATATTGAGTGACTGATAAGAGCAGTTACAAGGTGTTTTTGTTGATGAAACAAAAAACGATGAGATGTAAAGCTGCAACATGAGTCATAAAATCTATGCAGTCATTTATTATTCTAGTGGACCGTTCCCACCTTTCACGCAGAAGATTGAGCTGGAAGCGGTTGGCTAACTTCATCAGGTCGATGAGAAAGCCGTCGTCCCCACTCAACTCCAGATCATCTGTGTACGCCCAGCGCAGCATTGCCATGGCAACCTCTGGTTTGGCATCTAGGAAATCACATGGGGATGTACAGGAAAGAATCCAACAAGTTCAGTTTTGAGGGATTACTGCTGCATACTGCATTAGAACAATAAGGGAAAAAACAACCAAACATAATCTAGACATCCTGCATTTCTAGTGCAGGTTGTAGGAAAACAGAGAAGCCATTGTTACCTGAGAGGTCCAGTTCTGTAGTGGAGGCCATGTTGGCTGAACTCCAGATTTCACTCCGAGCAGCCAACACGAATTTATGGGCGCTGAGCCTCTGATCTCCAATCTTCACCTTCAGATCGCTAGGAGAAAAAGACTGATGTGATCATACTGACTTTACACAGCATCTCTGTGAAATATGCAGTAATCAGCTGCCATATCATTATGCATTGGTCTCAGTGAGGTCAGATTGGAGACAACAGCCTAGGCACAAATCTCAGGCAGGTCATTCTGTAACCTCATAAGCGGTGCAATAAAAAGAAACAACTGTAATAGAACTTCTTAAGTTTACAGGCACAGCAGACATATTAAAACCCTTTCAGCCAGTTTTTATACACCAAGAAGCAAAATTAAACTGTAAATCATAACTTTTAAAATTTAAAAAAGCCATAAACAAGCTTACATACTGCAATTCAATTACAATGTGCATCTTATAAAACTGTCAATTGAAATTTGACAATTTTCATGACAATTAAGTACATTTAAACGCTGGTTTCATTCTCAATTCCGCAACACAATAAATACATTAAATATTTTAATTAAAATATGCAAAGAATTACTGATATATAATATTAATATATTTAATTATAAATAGCTTGAGCCTTGATGGTACAAAAAAAAAATCATTTGGAATTTTTAAGTTTTGCATTGGCATTTCTAATAAGAAAAACTATCACAGCAAATGCAATTTTCTTTTTACAAACAAACACTATTCTTATTTATTTTGCTTCTGTGGTTAAATATGACCATTGATGACTATTCACCTAACATCTCATCTAACAGTGTGTGAGGCGAGCATTCATGTCCAGTTTTCACCTGTACTGCTCTTGCTGAAAGAGGTCAGCCACAATGGCCAGCAGGCGGCTGATGAAGGAATCACTGGCCTGGGACACAGAGCCGGGGAGAGAGGCCTGGGCAGCCAACACAGAGCACCGCCTGTCTGTCTCCACCAGCTTCTGTTGCATCTTCACATACTCCTGCCTCAGCAGAGCAAGGTGCTTCTGCAATTTCTGCACCTCCTCTGCAGGCATGATGGAAACCATGAAGAGAGATGAGTAATGGAACAAAAGGAAGGAGCACATGGAGTACATGGAGAAAATAAGGGTAAACCGTCAAATGTGGTGGGTAAAGCAAAAGGGAAGTGGAAATGCCATGTAGACAAGAGAAAGAGGGACAAAATACAGATTTCACATGGAAACTGCTGACACTGACAGACTTCCTGAGCACGCTCACGGGGGGAGAAGTGGACCTACGATATGCGAGCTAAACTGCCTTTACGTGTTACAAGAAGTAAAAACTTTTTGGTCCGATTCATGAGAACCACAATCGCAAAAGTTAATACACAACCTTGATCAGTCTCATTCCACTCAAACCTCAAAATAACAACTTTAAACTCGCCATCTTGAATGTGGTAATTGCCTTGGATCTGTGACTAGAGGATTTCACAGCTTAACCTACATTCCAACACAGCCGCTTCCTTCCTCTTTCCTCGAATTTATTTACGTTCACCTCTCCAGAATGCTGAGGCTACACTTTGCCTTTTTTCCACATAAGCTCAGGTGCTGAGAGAGCTGGTCTAGTAGTAATGTCTTACCATTTGACATCTAGGAAAATCTCTGAATTCTGCTAAAAGAACATAAACAATTAAAACACCAGCAAGCTATCCAGCGCTTGTATAAGTATAAAGAAAAGTCTACCACAGTCATTGCACACAATTAAACCTGTGTGAGTGTGTTGTAAGCAAAGGATTAGAATGTTTTCAGTTTAATATGTGAGCCATTTGTCTTCAGCCTAGATTCAAGAATCCAGTATGCTGAGCAATCAACAACTCAGAGATGTCCAAATAGGTCCCATAAAGTATTTAAAAAGCTCATCAGCCAATCAGATGACAGGAAACCTTGTAAAGCAATAATCTGCTTGCATCACCAACAACCATTAAAACGAATTATAACAGCTCATGAATTACTCAATGAACTGACAGATGAAGAATAAATCATTCCAAAGAAATTGTGCAATTAGTAACTTATACAGTAAATTGTTCTAGCGGTTTCATAATTCGTAAATGGCTACAGAAAAATAGGTACTACAAAAGGTAAGGTACAAAATATTACCAAGATGACCAACCATGACTTGTTAACAAGTTATGTTTATACTACAATAAAACTTCGCTAGCCTGTTATTAACCACCACGTTTAAATAAAAAAACAAAATGACAGAAAGACAGCTTAAGTGTTCTTACGAAGGCAATTCCACCTAAATGTATTATGATTTAACAACATGTTGGGGGAAGATAAAGAAGCGACATGTCACACATCAGCTGATAAAAGTAACGGTTACAAACGCCTACAGAAACGTCACTAAATGTATTCATTATATGAAAATTATTTATAAAAATCAACAAGGCAGAGCTATAAAAATTATTTTCTACTGTTATCATATATAAATGTTGAGTCATATTCAATTGTATCACATAAGCTACATTAAAAGAGCAATGTATTTGCAGATTTAATCATCACTTTGCAAATTAAGCCAGATGAATTTACTCATTCAGGGTGATGAAGACTAAAACAAAAGACAAAAATGGGAAATTTCTGATTAGAAATGACTTGGAAAAACCAGCGCAAAATGAGAACATGGGACGACAATGCCTCTAAAATCAACCATTAACCTTTCAAAAGCATAACATTGTATGATATGCGCTAAATGCAGTTGAATATATCATTTGAAAAAGGATTCATTGGATATCTCTTTACATGAGAGCTCAAATCACCCGGCGAATTATTATTACCACCGCCCAGCCCACCACCTGACTTGCAACCAGCTAGGCTGGACAAAAATGCAATAAAGTGGTTCATTTCAGCGTTATGCAATATTTATCAACAAATGGCTGTGGTGATAACACTTAAATGCAGCATTAGGCCTGTCCATGGTGTAAAGAAATAACAACTGTAGACGTTAAACAGAAAGGGCGTGAAAAATAAGAAAGAAATCATCCTCATACCTTCTGCCATGTTGGATCCGTGGCTCGTCGCCTAATATCGCGAGAGAGCGCGGGAGGAAGGGTTTGATTTGGGAGGAGCCTGCTGGTGTAAGCAAGCAATGACCCAGGGATACATTACGTTTGTAAATTCCAGATTTAAAAAAAAAGTTCAAGTCTGTGTGTTGCAAGGAAACCAACTGTTACACTGTTATTATTCGGTCTCATTTAAGTTTAATTCTCACCATTATCCTATGTGTGTTACTCTTCCCCATGGCTGTTGCAGACATATTAGGGAAAATAAATTCTATTTAGATAAATGTCCTCTTTGGCACATTCCCAAACCCTTTCTAAAAATAGGGCCTAGTCTGTTGTGTAAAAGTAGACCTACATGGCACCTGCTGCACCATTGAGCATGTTAAACTGTTGCACATTCAAATGCACATTGTTACAATTCAATTTGTACTTATCATGGCCAACCAATATTTCCCATCGTGCCCCTAAGCAGTGTTGTTATTGTTAGCCAACACAGCAACTATTCAAACTTGTTTTCAGCAATTTAAACAAAGTGAACTGGAAAAAAAAAAACAAATTCCCTTAGCAACTAACTGAAATATATTTAAGCACTGAAATTATTTTAGCTTAAATATAAAATATAGCTTAACTAATAACAAAGCATGTAAAACTACAAATAAAAAATATGAAAAATAAAACAAATTTAAAATATAAATACAATAACTTGGTATATAAATCCTAAAATCATACTGGCCCAAATATGTTTTAAAACTACAGAACTGTAGATACACTTTTTACCCGGTGGTTTATATAAGACTGCCATGTTCTGAAGCATATTTTTAATAAAAAGCAAATACAATTGTAGTTCTGCTGGTATTGATGAATGGATGGGTGTCCTATCACCTCCAGATTTGTGGTAACACTTTGAACTGAACACAGACAGCACACAAGTATTGGAAAAAATTATATTTTAGAAGAACTCACTAGAGGTGACAATTTCATAACATGAAAAATATACATCGGTATTTTGTCTTTGTACATTAGGCAAAAGAATTGCAGTAGTCTGTCAGAGCCAGAATAAAATTAACCAGAGAATTAAAGATTGTGGGAGAGAGGATGGGAAACAGGCATGCACACGCACGCACGCACACACACACACTTAATGCTCACTCACCCTTAAACACAAACACCTCATCTGAAATCCCAGAAACTGTTAGCAAGAAATCTACATTTAAAGCATGGCTAAGAAACCTATCAAAGAAACCACACAAAAGAGATGTCAAGCACACACACACACACACACACACACAAAAATCTGTTCCGATACAGGGGATAATCTTTACTCGAAATCTCATATGAATATCCAATTTTAGGATGTCCTCGGAAAGTGGGCAACGCAGTTATTGCTACACCAAATAATTCAGAATGCTGGTACAAAGTTTATGGAAAAAAAAAAAAACCTTACACATTCACACAATCTTGAGAGGATGTTAAGCAGTTCTTAAACACGTTCCTCCCTTAAGCTCCCGTTTGATGCAGGGCATGTAACAAGCCAAGCGATTTAAATTGGAGGCACTTTTGAAAACAAAAGAGAACATAACATGCAGGGGGGAAAAAAAGAAAATCACATCTGATGGGTTTCCTTGCCATTGCCTTCCCGCCTCAAACAGACAAGACAAAAGATGAGAACCTGACACTCAGAATGCAGTCAACCTTTCAGCCAAAATAAGAGTACCCCCCCCCCCCACCTCCCAACCCACACTTTTTAAAAACCAAATCAGAGAAACACCTTCATGACCCCTAATTAATAAGAAATTGACGTGCTTTACAGCTATTTTTACCTGAAGTGTCCCGAGTGAGAAAGCCATCCAACATGACGAGCATGCTTTGAGTCCTAATTATAGCTTAACCCTTCCATCCCCACCCTAAAACTGGATTGAGTTTGAGTGACTTTTGTTCAAACCGACAGGCGAGTACGTGAGGCTGCTTGCAGATGTATCAGATCTGATGCACACTAAGAGATGTGAGGCAGCAGGAGGTGGAGGGTAGGAGATGAACTATACTCTTCAAGAACTGTACATGATGTCACACTCTAACTACAGAATTGCTATTTTATTTGGTACTAAGTCCTGCTGGATGGATAGGAACAAGTTATTATATATTATCCGGTTTTTATGTCTGTGCTATGTACACGTCTTTACAATCTCTTCCTGAAAAGTTGTATCAGTTCGTAGACTTGGAGGGAAAAAAAAGAAGGAAAAAAGCGTAATTGTTTGTAAGTTGTTGTTTTTTTCTCTTTTTTGTTGGCACTTGCTTGGCGTGTTCTGTCAGCATCTGTGATGGCCTTATGTTCTATTGCAGCCTAATGCCAGTCTGTTACAGCCAACATTCAATGAAAACCAGTCCAGCAATAGGGTGGTAGAGTGCAAGAAAACAGTGCCATGTTTTTTCTCAACTGGAGACCTGTGAAAGACACAGACAGAGTTATTAGTTTAGATATTTCAAAAAATGTCAGACTAATAGACCTTTAAACATCTATAGCCTTCAACAGTTCATTTAGTCAGTGACATACATCAGCAATATTAATCTTTTGAAACTTAACTTACTTTAAACACACTACAGTTACAGGGGTAATGTGTGAATGAGGGGGAAACAGTACAACTGAAATGCTCAGGACAAAAGGGTCTGAATTACCTACGAGAGGCTAAGCAGACAAAAGAGCCACTGTTACCTAATAATCTTTAGCATTGAACCTCTATTTTTAAACAAGCCTTGTGAACCTGTTCTAACAGGTTAGCCCACAACATTACTATGACAGAACTCTACTCAGACTGACAAAGGCCCTATTCCGAGGGGATTACTTCTGTGTGGGATAGTGAGTGCAACATGAGAGTTGGGTGATTTTTAACCCTGTACAAATCAGACTTTTTATGTGCTACGCATACATATGCAAATAAGGCACATTTTACCTTTTATTTAAAAAAAAACAACCATAGGTAAAAACAGACCAATGTAAATCAACGTGCTAATAAAAAAAAGTCACCTGAGGGATAGCTTTAAAACTTGTGATAAAAATGATCTGCATCACCTGGCTCTGTGCTCGTGAGTTTTCAATAAGTCAGTCAAGTTGGGGAATTCAAAAAAAAAAAAAAATGGTCACAAGACATCAGCAGTAAACCAAGATGGTAAAAGTCCACAGCTTACCCTGAAAATAGTGAAGCTACAAGCTGCTAGATGAATTTCACTCAAAGGCAGTCTCTTGGCTCTTTCTCACACAGCGGGCAACTTTTCTTTTGAATTCACCATGTCTGTCTTCCCTCCACTCTTTCTGAAATATTAGATCAAAATGAATGCATAAATACACATATAATGTATCTAATTTATCACTTAAGTGAATAAAAGTACAGCAGCCCACAATGGAATATGAAGCAAATATATATTGAATAGTTATTGATCAGCCGAGTGTGGTAGTTTTAACAAGTTCGCATCAAACTTACTGCTGCATCAACATTGGCAGGGGAATCTCCATTGGGGTCAGCTAGCATAGAGATGACACTAATCATAATGGTCTCTACGGTGTGGATGGGGAGCCAACGCTCTTCTGGTTTCTCGTAGCCGTATTTATCCTCCCCCGGTTCGTGCAATATCGAAATACAAACATCACCATTCTTGTCAACTGCAAACACAATACAGAAACAGAACATGAGGATCGCATGCAAGTTCTTACAGTCTTACACAGTTTGACATACATGAACCATTTTTTTCTGTTGCAATTCATTTAATATAATAGATAAATATGATTGCTGATAGAATTTTTATATCAACACAATAAAAAACAAGTGGCAGGGAATGAAGATTTTCCCTCATTAAAATATTACACAGAAGAATATACATTTCTTTAAAATCACGTACATTCACATGAAAAACCTCCTGTCATTTCAATAGATTTTATCAATGCGATTTATTTTTTATATAGAGGAGGTCTCCTAATGGGAGCAGACAAGTTTAGGTTAGAAGACCAGCCAAAAACACACACAATAGTAGGCAAGCGCCATTACTAGACATTTTGCCAGAGAAAAAACATTTACATTCTGAATAATAAGCAACAAAAAGCATATCCATGAGGCTGAATTCACAACGCTAGGGTGCAATATAGATTTTATATCAGCCCAAATGGTGCTCACTGCAGAGCCAAATGACCTGTAGCTATTCATGAGTTGAGACCTAGTCCAGCTCCACCTCTGTGGATTTAATGGGTGGAGGGATAGAGTTATGGGTAGGGTTAGGGTGTGGTTGAACCTTCACCCATTACGCCAAAATAACAACCAGAGAGGAGGAGCTGAACTTCACACTCCACCCATGGCTCTGCAGTGAGCAGCCTCTATTTCAGCAGAGGGCAACCTGAATAAGGGATGCTTACATTCTGTGGAAACCTACAAACAACAAATCTCACAAAAATCTTTATCAGTTTTACAACATTAAATACAAACATTGCTGATAAATACAGCTCATAAAAAAAATGTGAAAGAACCAGTGGGGTGAACCCACTCTTACCATTTGGATGCCATATTTCTGTTATGAACTTCATTTTAGGAGGCCTGAGAGGATAGTCTTTGGGAAATGTAAGATGGGCTTTGAAGACACCACCCTCACTGTAAACAGAAAAAAAAAAACATAACAGGCTTAAAGTTTCATTCAGCAACAATATTGTGGTGGTAAATTCTTTGCAATGTATTAAAATATTCTGCAACTGCTTAAACTGTGCCAGTTAGAATCCCATATGGCACCACTAAAACGTGTGTGTGGATACATATTCATCTTCATTAGGAACAACCACAACCAGGCTGTCATTTGCCATGGGGCAATCCATATTAAAGTCATTTTTTAATTCTGACATAATTTACTCACCCTTATGCCTATATGACTTTCATTTCTAAGCAAACAAAAAACTTACATTTTGAATAACTGTAGTGCTCATTCTTTGTTAATGATGACAGTTGACATTTTTGGTTGCACTAATCCTTTTACTGATGACATAGTTTAAATTTGTGAATAGAATTGTCACGTGGTATTTCATAAGACAACAAAAAGACTTACTAGAGTGTATCAGGAGGACCAATTATTAGCACTTCCCATCTGTAGAGGTCATTATCATCTATCAAACCGGCTGAAAAACCTTCCACAGGATTTTTATTTAGTTCTGTCAGGAAGAGAGAACATAAAGATACTGATCAGCTATTTTAGATGAAAGAAGAAAAAGTAAACGTAGCATTTGTGCTAACACATGGGTGATGATACTTGGACCTACACATAGTAACACTACCAAAAAATGTTTTCACATCTGGGAGAATTTTAGACAAGAAACGAGCAATTTGCCTGTTTGTTATCAGTTCAACTGACTGAGCCTGAAGCCAAAGAACGTCCATCTTTGGTGCCAGTGGTCTCAGATGCTCTGTCTGAACTTCTGTATTCTTAGAGAGCAAAACAAAAACACTGTAGGTTTGAGGATGACCATCTTGTTGACAAAAACAAGTTGACAGTTGGGTAATCCAGTCACATCATGGATATGTCATTTTAATGAGCGCATTAAGATCTCACAAGTGCCACATATTCGTGGCCCATATCTTTCAAGCCCAACATAAATGGATGTTGTGAAGCTTTTGTTCCCTCAGAGGGTTCACTGAGTTTAGAACAAGGCCGATGAGTTCACCATGCTGGTCCTGCTGAAAGGAGACAACCAAACCTGCCCCGATCCCCTGAATAAGTCAATCAGCCGCAGGGCCACCGCAGAACCTGACGCCATGACAGACCCGGGGTGCCAGTCACCCTGTCAACCCTTGGAAAGAAATAGGCTAGTTGCCTCTATGAGTGTGTAAGATGAGTAATTTGGGGGGATGGGTTTGCTTGAGCGGTCTATGCATCAAAGAGACAGCTGTCATGAATCAGATTTAACATGATCTGAACTGTTCATGTTTAAACTGAGAACTTATGCTATCTGCTTATTTTGACCCTTTTACAAATAATTCACTTCACTGGCTGCACTGCGCAAATGGGGCCCAGTGGAGAAATCCTCCTCTGGCTTGAGCTCAGTAAAGCTGACACTCACGGATCATGTTGCTCAGTGTGTTTATTGGCCAAAGAACATGAGAAACAAACTAGTAACGACTCTAATAACAGATAAATTCGTATAACCAGAAAATAAAAAAGCACGTTGTGTGTACATCACGTATGTAAATCTAGTATGAAGAGTACAGTTTATCAGGACTGTACAGAGTCAGACTGTACTGTAGTTCACTCTGTACCAGTGAGCTAGTGTTCAAACAGCAACCATCAATTTGTTAGCTTAGCCTGTTAGCCAGCTAGAAAAACAAAGGGATTTGATCGCCCCGCTGCGGAGACATGGTACACAATGCACGGCTTATACATCTCACTTTTGCGCCTTGTGTTACAATACTGGTTTGACGGATCAAGATAAGATGGTAAACGGAAATGGGACCAATGACAGAGTTTCCCTGAGACTATAACCGACGGCTGGTGCTCCTATGTAAACTGCGTCCGGAGTCCGGACACAGATGTCAAAACACGGACTGGCCGACAGCGAGCGGCCCCGCCGGAGTGATTACAGACAAACCCGCCTGACATACATTTCCAAAAGCAAACTGAATAAAACCAAACAAATGTACGCGAATTATTACTTTAATTAAATGTCAACGGGTCTCGGATGAATATTCCATCATGAGTAGTAGCAAAACACAGCATTTAATAATAACAAAAGACGGCGGAGATAGCCTTTAGCCGGCTAATTTAGCTGCTAACTTGCTAACAAATGCTTTACAATAAATGCAGCGCTCGTTAGCAGCTAAACTAGCGGCTAATGGCTAACACCTCCGTCTTAACTGCATTGACAGGCTAAATGTTCACCGGTTTGTTAGCCAGGCTTTGCCAACACCAGCCTTGAAAAATTACCTGCTAGCTGTCTCCTGAGTAACAGTGCTGATTGGGGCTCCGTCATGTTTTTATAAGTTATATTCTATGTCGACAGTCGTTCACTTCGCTAATGAGAAAATATGTTTGAATTTGCTTGCAGGTCTTTCCGTCTGTTCTCTAGTCCGTTTTGCTCAACATTCTGATCCGGTGTGCGCATGCGCTCTACTGTCTATGAGGCCGCGAGGAGAGAAGGATTCGCGCATGCCCCAGTAACAGTGATGGCTTTGAGGGCACGGTTTTGTGTTAGCGCTCCAATGGTGTTATTGTGTGAGTCTATTGAAAACGTGATTCTAAAATTCACACAGAAGACGATAAAATAATAACTAGATGTACATTTTTGTGAAGAAAATGTGAGTGGTGCCAAACTCGTCACTATAGGCAGATGTTAGGACATTCTGCATGTTTCCAAGTTAATAGGATAAGAACCACTAAGTAACATGTTTTCTCCCTTTTATAGCTTAATGCTCTACTTAGTATGTTTAGTGATTAATTAGGCTGTGTTTTCTTAGTTTTTGTAAGCCAGATTAGATGAAAAGTTTTTGGTTTCATGGACAGTATACTACTAGGCCTACCGTGTCATTCAACCACTGGGTGACAGTAAAGAGTAATCCAAAATTCCAGTTCATCTATTGCGTAATTATTGATTAGCATATAATTTAGTATGCGATTTAACAAAAACCCATCCTTCTTTTTATAATGGTAACCTATATTATTATAATGCATTATTAATCATAGGCCTAATTATAATGCATACCACAACCTACTTTTTCATGACATCAGTTTATCTTTCATTGAAATCAGCAATAGGCTACAGATGTGGTGAGAGGTCACTGCTCACTGTAAACAAGTACGTGTGATGATGTGGTCTTACAGAAAACGTACAGTAGCCTATGTCATCATGCTACATAATATGGTAGAATGTACAGAGGCTTTGTATTTTGGAGAAGTTGTTATAGGCAGGGAGGATTTCAAAAGAACACTTGTGCACCATCGGACAGGAAAATACTGAAGTTTCACAATTCTGCTTTGAAGGAAGGGTGGAGGGGGGGGGGGTAAGGCAAGCTATTACTGGCAAGCCATCTCCAGGAAACATGATTATGATTATATCTAGAATGAAATATGCATGCATTAGTATGAAATGTTAACTATGAAAATAAGGGTCATAAACTCAGTTGAGTAGACAATACAAGATAAGGTTTCCATTTGAAGAATTCCCTCACTGGTGTTTATTTTCTGCCAGCTCTTTTATCAGACCTTTGTCCTGGTGTTCAGAGTTCAGAGCAAGAGCATTGATGTGAAACATAATGCCAAAAGCCCTGCAAACAGATCAGTGTAAAGCAGAAAGCATGAAGGGAGTATGCATGAAAATCTATTGGTTTGTGGTCTATATCGCAACACAAGGAGGAACTGTTCTGCTGCCTGTGACCTAAAAAAAGGGGTAGGCCTTGGGCTTGATTCTAACTTGATAACCCTGTAGTGTGCTGCATGCAGAGGAATGTCTTTCTGTTTCTACAAGTGACATCTCAAGGAACACAGCAAACGACGAAAGAGAAAAGGAAAAAAGGCCAGCAAAAAAAAAAAAATGGATTAGAGCAGCACTGGACATTGGAGAACATCGACTGAAGTGTAAGTAACTGAAATTATTGAATTAGCAAGTTGCTTAAATTGTTGAAATTGTCAAGGTAAAATGATCTTCTAATTGTTCAATATGCATTTTGTGAACAAATGAATAAATAACAAATGGGAATTTAGCAGCCTCAATGTCTAAAAGACTGGTTGTAGGCTGAACAATCACATGGCATTGTCCTGTGGTGGTCATACACAGCTAATCATCACAACAGTGGCATTGATGGCAGTCCGCTATGGAACTGAGTGCTGACCTGAACTGATGAGACCCAATTGGAAGTAGCCTATCATCTGTTCGGACTATCGCTATAAGAGAGGTTAAATCTGACAGATCTTCCCTCAAGCACACTGAAACATGTATAACTTTAGTAAAATATTATAGTGGCCATATATTATATTTACTAGGTAGAGGATGCCCTTCCTGTGGCAAATGTGAGGCCAAAATTAGGACTGCTGCAATTAGGACTAAAATAACAGCTTGCTGCGGGTGCAACTAAGATCACAACCACCAACTTTGAGATAGCAAGTTCCGGTCTTCATATTGCATTTTCACACAATGTCTGTACATACAAGTCAGATGCTTTGCAAAATTAGTATTATTAAAAGGACAAATTTGTTTGTGAGATGAATGAAATGACAAGTATTCTACTCTGTACAGAAATGAGAGAATACACTAGGAAAGTTTGAGAGTTCTGGGCCTATTTATTATCGAACTCCTGCCTAAAATTATGTCACTGTGCTTATTTGTCTTTAGAAAGTTCTGCAATTTGACTGACCACACAATGGCTGTATGCTAGGTTGCAACACTAAACACCAGTAAACATCCTCATAAATGTAATACATGCAAAGCCTTTGACAATTAATTAGCTTTCAAGAAAAAAATGAGTTCTTTTTACACAAATATTTTTTTGTTAAAGTAACACACATATATTTCTTTTACCACCAAAACACTATTGTATTTTGTTTAATTAACTTAACCTACTGTAAATAATTTTCAACTATACTTAATTGTCAATCGTTAAACTAATGTAAATGGTTTAATTTCGCGATTCAAAAAACCCCGGGTGCGACTATTTTCCACGTATTGGATGAAGATGGTGTGTGAAGAAGGTGGCAAGGTGCATGGCCTCAGAGAAAATATAAAGTTAATCTAAAAGCAAAGTCTTTCATTTCTGTTAGTATTTCGGAAAGAATTTTCTGAAATGCTTTAAATTTATGAGAGAAAAAAAACATTTTGGCTGCTTGTTCAAATTGCTTCAAATGAGCTTAAGCAACATAATTGATATACATTTTGTCCAAACTTAATTTGATTGTGTTCAATCTGCTTAAATATGTCAAATTAAAGTTTACTTAATCCATTTGTGTTGCATTGAAACTGGGCAGTGCTTGTTAGTTCCCAGCATGATTTGCATTTAGCTGAATTAAGAGAGAATAAATGAAATTGAAATTAAGTGTTATTTTATGAGTTTTTTAGAAAATGAGTAAAGGGAAGATTTTATAGAGTGTAATTGTATTTAATGTTGCAATTATTAGAACCATTTAAATTACGTTGGGTACAATACCATTGTGGAGAAGAGTGGAGCATTTGGTTAGGATGTGGACTGATTCAAAAATGTATATGTCTTTATTCTGAAAGACCATATATTACCTTTAAGTACTGTATTACCTTTAAATAATAGCTATAGCGATAGTCTCGAAATTTGTTTAAGGTATCTTGTAAATCCTACATACTTTCATTTTCAGTGCAGTTTTAAAATAAACTAAAGTATATTCACTAAACTTAACCGATTTAAGTTACAGGGAAGCAATTCCATTGATTTGTTTGGACAATTATTTCACATAGATTCTTCATTACTATTTCACATAGAATATTTCTCATTCAGTTGTGTTGTCACAACACAAGAAGCTTACATAGATTCAAAATAATTTGCTTGTGTGGAACCACTGTCCATAATTTTATTAAGTTAGTCATTTTTTTAAGTGCAAGTTAAGTGTTCCTAATCGTGCAAAACTAAACCAAATTATTTGATAAAACACTGTTGGGTGTTTATTTCTATATGAGGCATTTGTCACCACTCACCAGCCTTGTTCATTGATTGCAACTTTTCCTTGCTGCCATGGTTACTCTTAAAACATTGTCCAGTGTCCTGGAATCACATGGAAGCCATGTGAGCTCTATACCACAGTTCACAAATCATTCATTAGAGGGCTTGAAAACCACACTATTTTTGCATTGTTACCATCTATGAAGTTCTTAAAAGTCATTTTTCTTCTTACAGGGGCAAAAAAGTCTTTAGGTAACGATAGAGTCAGAGAGTACTATGGCCTCCAACCAACACAGACCAAAACCCAGCTTGAGCCTCCGCTCAAACACAACTGTACGTTATGGCTCCATGAGCTCTGAACAACCAGATAGTGACACACCCTCCGTTCAAACAGCCTCCATTTCTCAGCGATGCTCCTACATCTCAGTGGCAGTGCTCTGCTACATCAATCTCCTCAACTATATGGACCGTTATACTATAGCAGGTGAGCACACTATAGCCATAGCAAGTGTGATGGTTCACAGATTGTCACTTGAAATAGTGACAGATGTTGTTCTGATTCTGTTCCAGGTGTGCTGCTTAGCATCCAGAAATACTTCAAAATCGATGACAGCACATCAGGTCTCCTACAGACAGGTATCAGTTTTAATTTGTAGCACATTGCACTGACAAAACAGTAAGAAGGATGACAACATTGCTGAACTTGATTTTACAACAGTATGTCCTTGTTGGAGATGAACTAATAGGTATTTTACTGTCATTTTGTAAGTTAGTAACAAGCCTGGTATTAAGTAAAACACAAGTAGATATGTTCAAATTTGTACATGTAAATGATTGCTTGAGTTTGCATTGCTTGAAAGTAGCAAAAAGGCTCATGATCTAATCCAACACTGATCTGGTTTACAGTTTCATGCTTACTCAGTCTCTGTCTGCTCTAATCTCCAAACTGTTAGGTATTACTCTGCATACTGACATTCATTAAAATAATATACTTTGCTTCATGGATTTGCATAATCCATACATTGATACCATGTTACAGATCAGGGTCCTCCTTGCTCCTCGTGGTGCCGTTCTGGAGGAACCATGCTTGGTTTCCGGAACTGATGCAGCTCACGAGCACTGCTCTGTGGCCGATTCCATTGAGAAAGGATCTCCTCTCTCCACGGTACTAGAGGCAACGAAGAGTGACCCTTTCGGGCCACTGCAGTCAGTGGACTTACGGTGTCTCTCGTTCAAAACCAATTTTCTCATGGCTACCGCTTCAGTCGAGCGAGTGGGTAATTTACACGTGCTCTCTGTGAGCGTGTCATGCATGGAATTTGGGCCTAATGACTCTAAAGTTATGCCTATGTCCCCAAAGTGCTCTCCGCTCCTTTCAGAGCACAAGTCATTTCTCTGTCAGCCCTTCCGGGAACTTATGACGAGAACAACGTAAATCTCCTTTGCCCCGTCAGGGCGCTAAGGATTTATGTTCAGCGGTCTGCTGCTTT